TCCTAGAGACTGTGTGAATAGTGTCTAGCATAGTATCTAGCACATAGCATGAATGCAATAAGTGTTTATGAATAAGTGAAACATGAATAATAAGGGAACATTTGCATAGCAATTTAAACACAATCCTTTTGAAATACTCTTTTTTCTTTGAAAAATAGGCCTTTTTTTAAAGATCTTAAAAGCAATAATGCTGATTGCAGCAATTTTACATACAAAAAATTCATGTAAGAAAATAAAAACTGCCTGTAATCTTACCACCCAAAGAAAACCACTTTTAACATTTAGATGCAGTCCTTTCCAGTAATTTTCTACATGTATGTATATATACCAAATCACAATCCTATTTTTATACCTAATTTTCTCAAAGATTGTCACAGTAACTTCTGGAGGTAGAGGTGGCATTTTTATCCCAATTTAAGTGATGGGAAAACTGGAATACCAAGATACACATCTTATTAATGGCAGAGTTAGGACTAGAACTCATGAATCTTTTTTTTTTTTTTTGAGACGGAGTCTCGCTCTGTCGCCCAGGTTGGAGTGCAGTGGCCGGATCTCAGCTCGCTGCAAGCTCCACCTCCCAGGTTTACGCCATTCTCCTGCCTCAGCCTCCTGAGTAGCTGGGACTACAGGCGCCCGCCACCACGCCTGGCTACTTTTTTGTATTTTTAGTAGAGACGGGGTTTCACCGTGTTAGCCAGGATGGTCTCGATCTCCTGACCTCGTGATCTGCCTGCCTCGGCCTCCCAAAGTGCTGGGATCACAGGCGTGAGCCACCGTGTCTCAGGTGGTGTTCTTCTTGTATCAATCCAGCATCAGTGGAACATGCATTTGTAACTGGGTGTCCTTGCTCTACACAGGGAGAGATTTAAGCCTCGTGTCCACACCAGGGCTCAGCAGTGCACACTGGGCATTGTCTCTAACACTTTGGAGGGAAACAAGGATGGAGCATCTAGGATCTTGTTCTAGGATCTTGTGATAGGCTCATCAACTGTGCGAGGCAGGCACCAGTAAGAGTTAGAGTTTCCTTCTGATGGCCAAATGGTATCTGAACAGCAATGGCTTGGTTCAGAGCACATTGCTATGGGAACTGCAATCACAGGTTCAATCTCACCATAGACCAGCGAGTTGTACTCCAATCCACGACTAATGACTATATTCCAGAACAATGTACACAGCAGGCACTCAATAAGTGTGCATTGGGCCGAGTTGAGTGTATATTATTCATCAGGGAAAGTAGGCAAAAAAGCATGCTGACAGTAAATTTCCATACCACCGTGCCCAGTGTGGAAAAGGCAATCCAATGTGATCCAGCTTTTTATTTTATTCCAAATAAAGGACGAAATTGTAGTCCCACAAACACACATCAGATTATTAGTTCCATAGATGAATTTATGTGCATGTCCCTAGAATGCCAAGCATGAAAGCCAGACACAACTGAGGTGTCCATGATTTTTGAATTGAATTGTGCGAAGACAGCCTGGTGTGGGAGTTAAGATGTCGACTAGTAATTCACCATTCCTTTCCCTGAAAGCTCTGTAAATCAAGCTCTTAAAAAAAGCAGCAAGCTAAATTCCAAAACCCTCTCTGAGGAGAAATGCCCATGACTGGTGGGGTCTGGACTATGTCCACCAAATGTGCAGATCTCTTCTGCACAAACATCGTCTACTCCCAAGGGAGCCCGTGACTGACTGACCGGCTGTGGAGACTCACATGTCCCCTCTTTCCCAGTGTTGAGGGGGCCAGGGGAAGGGAGTGGGAGTCGAGTGATGAAGCACGGCTGAACTGAATATTCTCTTTCCAGGAGAAGGAAAATGTTACAGCAGGAGGTGGGTGGCACTTTTCTGGAGGAATAACCATGAAGAACATGGGGTATATTTGAAAATGATCTTTTCTGAGGACAAGTTTCTCTTTTATTTATTTATTTATTTATTTATTTTTTTTTTTTTTGAGACGGAGTCTCGCTCTGTCGCCCAGGCTGGAGTACAGTGGCCGGATCTCAGCTCACTGCAAGCTCCGCCTCCCAGGTTCACGCCATTCTCCTGCCTCAGCCTCCCGAGTAACTGGGACTACAGGCGCCCGCCACCTCGCCCGGCTAGTTTTTTTGTATTTTTTAGTAGAGACGGGGTTTCACTGTGCTAGCCAGGATGGTCTCGATCTCCTGACCTCGTGATCCGCCCGTCTCGGCCTCCCAAAGTGCTGGGATTACAGGCGTGAGCCACCGCGCCCAGCCAGGTTTCTCTTTTAAAGAGCTATCCTCATATTCTCTCTTACCTTAGATTGGGGCTATTGAAATGGTCCTGCCAGAGCTAGGCTAGAATGCCACAAACTGGGATTAAAGTTGACTGGGCAGGGGGAGGGGTAAAATGGGATATGGGTTGAAGAGCCATAAGGCCAGGATGCTCACTTTTTCTGAATTCATTCAAGAGCATTGGTTTTGGGAGGCAACCAAAATGCAACTCACTAATCCCCTAAGCGCTCAACAAACTCTCTTGAAGATTTAATCACAATGTAAAATCCACAAGTTTTTATTGGCAGTGTTTAGTTATCAGTTGCACAACTCTCTGAAGTGGCAACCAGTACAATTCCCAGGTCTGTCTCCATTACACATTCCAGGGGCCTGCTGGCAATGTGTGTCAGATTGGTGTTCTGGTCTAGCCTTGTAAATTCCTTCCGGGGAGACTTAGGATACACTCTCCCAGCTGCCAGGTTCTCTACTTATAAGGTGCAGAATTTATTAGTGAAAAGAAAGATAAAAAGAAAGCCTGCTACCTTTTTAAGTGCTTTTACATACAGTTTCTTTATTACAGTTTGGTGTTTCCAGAAATACAGCTGCCCAGATCATTTGAGTCTTTGTGCTGAATCAGTGGAACTTGTTTTCTCTTCCCATGAATTTCTATGAGCTCTGCTCCACCGTGTATCAACTGAGGTCTTTTGTGCCATGCTTTTAAAGAAAGTCACTGGCAGCAACTCTCATTTGAGGAGGACAAAGCCATGAGGACTGACATCCTTAACTTACACATGGCCATGCAAAGGTACAAAGAGGGTTGATACGGAATCCAAGTTTGTCCAACTCTGGAAATGAAGCTTGTCTAGTCACCCAAAGACTCTTTTTCCAGTCTGTTTTCTTCTCTCCAATTTCCCAACATGCCTGGTTTCATTTCCATGCATTTAAGGCAATGTTGGCCTCAGACCACAGCAAAGACATCTAAGAGGCTACCATAAGAAATAGTGTGGTACAGTGAAAAGAAAACACAATTTAGAACTGGAAAACGTGTTCCAGCTCTCTTACTACTCATCTGACCTTGGATAAGGCACTCAATAATGTCACAGAACCTTAGTTTCTCTTTAGCAAAGTAAGTATAAATATTCATATTTATCTCACCATGTTATTTTCAGAGCAATTTTATGACAAATTGCAATTCTCTGATTTATGTTTATTTATTTTCCATTTATCAGTACAGTTCACTATATTATAAACTCCAAGAGTTCAGGAACCTTGTCTCTTTGGTTCACCACAGTGGCCCATTGCCAGGAACAGCAATCAGCACATAGTACCTGATCAAGAAGAGTGAATGAAATTTGAATGAGTGATGAAAGGAATAAAGGAAAAAAGGAAAGAAAGGAAAAAGAAGGACAGAGGGAAGTGTTCAGAGCATTGTAGATGCCATTTATGAAAGTGATCTGTACATTGTTAAGTATTATCTGCATCCTTTTATAACTAACATTTGATGCGTTAATTATGCCAGGGTGAGCTGTTTAAAACGTAAGTAGATCATGTTACTTCCCTAATTAGGCCTTCCAATGGCTTTTCATACTATTTACAAGTCAACTCCTTTCAGCATACAAAGCCCTAGGTGATATGACTCCTGCCTACCTCATTTCCAACTTCTCCCCCTTCCTCATCATGCCCCGGTCACCCTAGTGTTCTTGCGTTTCCTCAAATGTGCCAGGTTTGTTCTTGCCTTGGAGCTTTTGTGTTAGTTTCTTCCCCAGCCTGGAAAGTTAGTTATAAAGGATGCAGATAATACTTAACAATGTACAGATCACTTTCATAAATGGCATCTACAATGCTCTGAACACTTCCCTCTGTCCTTCTTTTTCCTTTCTTTCCTTTTTTTCTTGCCCCTCCCCTAGCTAGCAGTCCCTCTGTTAAATGAGGTGGAATTGGATCATCTCGAGGGGGGATCCCAGCTCTGAAATTCTATGACTTGATGAGAGCAGTCTGATCTTTTGTCATGACCATGACTTCTGTGATAAAGGATAACCCGTGTAATATTTCTGATAAGCGTAGCTTTTCTGGTCTGTGGAATTTCTCTGATTGGCCAATAAGGTCACTAGACAAACCCATATTTCTGCTTTTGCCATTCTAGTTTATTCTTCTCTTTCCTTTTCTTTCCTAGAGAAGTTGACGCTCTTGGTAAATTCCCTCATTGTCACATAAGGCTCAACATCTAACTGTAATTGCACTTCAGCCACTCCTCAAGAGATGGGTTCCTAGTGTGTCTGATCTTGGCTAACCCTCCCCCATCTGCTTTCAACATGTTGCATTTGATGTCAACTAATGTCTCCTATTAGCATTAAAATAAAACAATCTGGAAAAATTCACTCTCAAGCAGAGTTCAAACAGGCCACAAGTAGATGGGGAATCTCAACTGCACAAGGATTGTTAAAACAATAGTAATAAATATACAAATATGTATAAATGAATGTATGTATATTGCATACTGTACATACATATGTATGTGTATATATAAAAGTGAGTGAGTGACTAGATGTGTGTGCATGTGTGTATGTGTATGTGTGTGTGTGTGTGTGTGTGTGTGGTGAAGCCAAAAGTCTGTGAAATGGATCAAGGGAACGAAGACAAGAATGTTTCTGTTCAATTAATGAAATTAACTGGTAACAGCAAGAGGAAAAATATTCTCCTAGTATGGAACAGGCATGATCAAAATAACTGAATGATATGGAAAAGGAGTTGGGAATCTTTATCCAACACTTACTGGTAATGGGTTAAAATTCTGGTCCACGAGGTGATTGTATCCATGGTCAAAAAATGAGTGCCGTATCACGACATCAATGCCCTGATTGGCCAGCATTCCTAAAGTGTTCAACCATCTAAAAGGCAGAGAAAAAGAGCTACATCAATATATTTTTAAAACGGCATACAACAAGCTCTATGGAGATTGGCTACTATATATACATATACACCAATCTCCAGTCACCAAATTTACCTAGTACTTTGAAGACGGTTATTTTAAGCATTAAATTCACAGCTGTAATATATTTTAGAGATTATCAAATCCAAACTCTGCATTTGATAGAAAAAGAAACAGAGGTCTAGGGGAGTAAAATGAACCACTCTTGATCATTAAATAGTTTGTTGTTAATGACTTAACTTTTTATTCCTGAAATAGTAACAAATGAACACCCTAGCCATTTGTAAGCCTAATATCCCTCCTGGCCAGAGGACATACAATTACAGACAGAGGAGCACACATTGTGCATTCCATCCCTCAAACTCCCCTGCTTATACCCTGTCCCTGAACATGTACCTTTAACAGAACTCTAACTCATATACTCCTATGACCTATGCAAATATAGTCTAGTCATTAGCAACCTTCATATATCACTGTCAGTAGTCAATGCAATAATAATTTTCCTTGGCACTATAAGTAACTCTTCAGGGATTCAAGTATGCTACCATCACACATATTTCGCAGTGGAGGATCCACACTGTTCACACACTTATCATCTATCCCACTATGCCAAACACCCATTTTCCAGGGCATGCCATCCTTCAAAAATACTGCCTTCTTGGTTCTTCCAACACTGCTGACTCTGCCTTCATTATTTACACTTTCAGCTCATTCATCCATTCATGCATTCATTTGGGGTTCTCTTTCTCTTCCTACTTCTGAAACTTAGGGAAACTTCTACTTGTAATAATACATGGAATAAATGTGGCTTAGAGATTCAGTCTTCTGTACATGTAAGATAAGGCATTTCACAACTTGTCCTAAATATATGTGTGTACAGCTTTATTTACCTCTTCCCCATCTTCTCTCACCCTAAACCCCATTTCCCACAGGCTCCAAGACACATGAAACTACTCTTGGCTACCCAAATACACATTGCTTTCTCACACTTACCTAAGTCCTTATACGTGTTTTAATTTCTGCTTAGAGTTCCCTTCCACTCTTCTTTGAACCTATCCCTTTTTGTCTAGCAAATTTCTTCTCATATATTAATCTCCAAATCAAGTGTCATTTTATTCTAAACTCTGCTGCCCCAGCCAACAGTGGTACCTTCCTCTGTACTTCCCCAGATCTCTTATTCATGCCCTCAGAAAGTCCACAGAAAGAATCACTTAACTTACTTCTCTCCCTTTCCCCTGTCAGGTATGAGCTCATCAAGCATAGACACAATGTCTGAACTTGTACTCCAAACACCCATCACCATTCCTGGCACACCATAGGTACTCAATACTCTGTTGACTTGAAATCTGTCTGGATAAAATTAGATTCTCGGAACTTTGAGAATCACCATTTAGCACACTGGGGAAAATTACACATACTTATGATTTCCCAAATCTGAAACCATATGGAGCTCCAAACCCGTGACTTGAAGAATTACATTTTTTTCCTTGCTGGGATAAAGGGCATTGCTAATTTTTATATTGTGAATAAATATTATTCCTATATTCAAATATTTTTTACATCTACAATTATATTTTATTCTCATAAAAACTAACAAATATTTACTGACAATTAGAGTTACAAAAATAAAACAAAACAAAAAGCAAAGCAAAACACAAAAGTTTTAAATCAAAAAGGAAAACTGACTATAATATAGTAGAATCATTTTTGTTGTTGTTCTTCAAATTGGAACATTGTGACCCAGGAATTGAAATTACTTTTGGAACATAACATGGCTAAGCAAGCTACTTGCCTTCATAATTTTTATTAATTTGGTAATCCTATAAAATCAAGATATCAGCTTTAGCTTTTCCTTTAGCCACTGAGACATACTATGAAATACCTTGTCAAAGGCTGTCCTGTGGTAGAACTATAACCAGAACCCATGGCTTTCAGAATAGAATGGTTAATACAAAAGATACCTTCATCTTCCTCCTATAATAACAAGCCCCCTCAGAAAGGGAAAGAAATGGTTTCCCCAGGTTCCTTTCTATGCTAAGCTAGAGAGAGTTGATAAAATGACTGGTGTATCTAACCAAAGATGCTACCCTGCCATTATTTTCCACTCCACTAAAGGTGAATATCTACTATGTGCCAGACACTATTAGGTGCTTGAGACATAGCAGTATGCCAAGAGTATTTGTGGTCCACCAAAGAATCTCAAAGCCCTAGCTGGGAAACACTACTCTTGAACACTTGGTAGCAGAGAATCCCGATTTATGCATACATGCATGTGTATATGTCCTGGTGAACTCAGAGTTATGTGATATATTAACATTTCAAAAAGGCTGGAAAAATGTCTTCTTTTCAATTTCTTGCTAGCCTCCTAGAGCTTCCTAGAATGCTTTACTGCTCCCCCACCCCTCCCATCCCCAACAGGAAGCAATTTCTGCCCCTTGGAGAACTGAACTCAAAGGGCACATTGCTGGGTGCTGCCAGTGGAGTTGAGACCAAATGGGTGACAAAGAAGTAAGAGAAATTGGGAGCAGAATAAACTAGTTTTCATCTGATCTGTGTCAACCAAGCATTGGATATCTGAATTACAAACAGAATATAAACTACTATGTTCATCCGTGTTCTGCAAAGTGATTGTAGGAATCTATGGCTATTTGGCTGATGCTCATGAAAAGGCAGTTCTCTTTTTCAACTTCCTCCATGAAGGTCTGCAGTATTTCTCATTCCTTATCATTCTCTAAAGGGAAGAATGCTCACAAAACCACTCAGTACAACTGGGCTGCTTGCTGGGCCCTGTAGCAGCATCCTATAGTGACTGCTGAGCAAATGTCATTCCTCTGCTGATTCCAAGGGGGCCCCTGCAGCACTGACGCCCTGGCTTCTCATCTTTCAACGGGTCTCATATCAAGCCAGTGGAGAGTGGGAGTGTACTTTTGTGGGGTTTTTTTTGGCGGGGTGGGGTGGAGGATGGAGTCTCGCTCTGTTGCCCAGGCAGGAATGCAGTCTCAGCTCACTGCAACCTCTGCTTCCCAGATTCAAACGATTCTCCTGCCTCAGCCTCCCAAGTAGCTGGGACTACAGGCGTATGCCACAATGCCCAGCTAATTTTTGTATTTTTAGTAAAAATGGGATTTCACCATGTTGGCCAGGCTGCTCGAACTCCTGACCTCAAGTGATCTGTCCACCTTGGCCTCCCAAAGTTCTGGGATTACAGGTGTGAGCCACCGTGCCTGGCTGGGAGTGTACTTTTGAAAGAAGAGTCTTAATGACACTATATCAAAGGTGACTCACTCCACTTCATGCATTTGAACCATGCTTGCTGCCCATGTCTGTGCTACACAATGTAAGATGCTGAGGACACAGAAATGGAAGACCCAAGGTATCACCATGAATTACACTGACTCATTTTCTTTATCTGCATTTGCCAGAACTCCATCTGTAAAGGCAATCCACTTAACTGGCCTGATTTGTCCTTCATTAATGTATTAAAGAAGTTACCTCTATACAGGGGAACCGAAGCTGCATAATTAGGAACAGCTGTTAGTAGCAAAACACACAGCTGAGGGCAAAGCTACAGTTCTTAGGAGGACATTGCTCAGTCAAAAATCCAAGGCCACAGGACTGTACTGGAGCAGGAACAAGTCACTTATTTAGTGGTCCTGAGGGGTTTGTCCCTGCCACATGACACTGGCAAGCTAATGAGAGGCCCTTATGCTTCTGGCTTAAGTCATTCTCCAGATGACTGTAGTAGCCTTCAAATTCATTTTCCCATTCCTTCCCAACTTTTGTGAATACCATTAACAAAGCCAAAGTCAGAAAAAACACAAGTCAGATTCTCCAGATTTTCTCTCTCTCTCTCTTTCTCTGTCTCTCCTTCACAATCTGCAATGGCTTACTGTGAATATAGAACAAGGCCTCACTTCCTCTACCGGGTTTTCAAGACCTTCTGTAATTTGGTGATAAACCCTTTCCTGAGTCTCAGCCCTCATTGCACCCTCGCAGATAACAAGGCTTTAGTCACATTAGCCATTCTCTGCTCCTCTGTGCCTTTGCTCATAATGTTTCTTGGGCTTAGAAGGCTCCCTCTGCCATCACCATGACTCCCACCTATAGAAATTAGAGTAATCCTACTATGCGGCACTCATGCCACTTTTTCCATGAAGTCCTTCCTGATACTCCCAGTCACAGAAATTCTTTATTCCTTTGCATGTCTATCATTTTTCTTTTGTAGATGGACCATGTGAGGCAGAAAGGCAGGTGGTCTGCTGCAGTGGTAAAGGAGCTGCACTCTGGAACAAACTGCCTGGGTTTGAGTCCAAGCTGTGCCACTAACTAAATGAGTGATCTTGGATAAGTTACTTCACCTCTTTCAGTTTTCTCATCCATAAATGGGATAATAACAGCATCTATTTCACTAAATTGTTATAAAAGCAGTAGCATCTATGTCATTGGTTGTTAAATTATGAAATACAAATAAAGCACTTCAGACAGTGGTAAGCACCGTATTATTAAAAGTATGATTACTACGGCACTTACCTCCTACAGCTTTACAATGTAGTTATCTCCTATCCCAGTTCCACCAATCATATTTTTTCTGGAGGGAAAAAACCATGCCTTATTGTTACCTATCTCCCAAGACTATAGTGAAAATTGGCTTAGAAAATGTATGTTGTTTACACTGTGTTTTGAACTTTAGACAATCAATAAAGCCGTTATTACTATAATTATTACTGTTACTAATATTACTTACTATAATGTTTGTTCTGATGCCTGTGCCTGACATTTTAATATCTAGAGAAGGCGTTGATCATTGTTGAATGGTTTAAGACATACACAAATGAAGGAAATGAACTTTCAACAGGAAACATGCCTCACCCCTTGGATGGGCAGAATAATCAGCAATATCAGAGATTCACTGTCCTTTCCTCCTGAAAGCCCCTGGGGGTGAAATTTCAAGTGTTACTCACAAGAATCCTGCAGCATAGGAATCTGATAGATTGTTTGTGCCTCCAGCTGAGGTGGTCACCACACCTTCAAGCCAAATCTTCTTTCCTGGAGTGTATGTATTAACCACCTGTTTACACAACAAAAGCAGAAGGGGATAATGAGGTTTTAAAAACTATTCCCACATGAGAAGAAACATACATTCCCTTAAGGAAGTTGATCTGATTTCCTGTTTTCAGGGGGTCATGATTTGTGCTTTTTTATGATGATGCACCCAGTTCAGTGAGTTGGCATTCACAAACCAAAATGCATTAACATTGACATGTGCCACTTAAAGAAATTATCATTTTTCCCTAAGTAAACCCAACTGACAATGTGACAGAACAAGTGCATACTCCAGGATGTAAACTGACTGCAGTACTTTCCACTAAAAAATATAAATCATATTGTGTTTCCAAATTACCAAGCATTGAGAAACAATGCTTTTCAGTCTCTCTTATAGCACATCTATGACACATGCACTATCTAAAAGCCACGAATGCATCACAAGCATCAAAAGTCACATATCACAAGCAAGTAGAGAGAATGTTCGCGGGAGACGTATTTTATAATTACTAGTGCAGGTAGATTGTAATCATATTTTGAAAATAACTGCAGTAAGGGTAAAAAGAAAAGTCACTGACCCACAAATGACACATTCACACAGGGAATAACTGCATGCCTTCCAAGCAGAAGCAAAACTTCTTGTCGAAAGGTAGCACGCTGAAGATTTGAAATGGCCCAGTCTCTGACCCACAAGGGGAAGACTGACCAAACTATTCAGATCAGGGTGAAGATGCTCTGGATTGCAATCTGGTGGCACTTAGGAGTAAGATTGTATGCTGGGTAGCCCCTGAAAACAGAGCCTGAGTCAAAGGCTTGTCTACAGGTAGTTCACTCAAGAAATAATACCAAGGAGCAGGAATGAGGGACTGGGGAACTGAAATAGGGACGAAGGGAAAACTAAGACAAGGATGCATTTTCAAATTGACAGCCAGTGCTGGCAACTACTCAGTCTCACAGGGATCTTGGTAAGAGCCTTACAGACTGTGTCTCAGAACTGACCCCCAAGGGGGTACAAGAGAAAGCATGAGTAGCCTTGTGACCATTAACCCCTTGCTCCTCTAACCCTATTTCAAGTGCAGGCCTGAGTGCTGAGTAGATTCTCTGAGTGTTCCTTCCTCATCTCTGCCTCAGAGAAGGAAATAAGAAGTGAGATACTACCTAGTACACTGACACCTAGCTGGCTGCAGCCTGCATGCTGGCCCAGCCCTGATCTCTACAATGATGGCTAGAGTAGGAGGTGGGACTGGGAGGATGCCAGCTATGCGCTAAAGAGGCTGGACAAAGAAAATAGTGTATTTAGGTCCTATGGCCCCCCAACTACTCTCCTAGGCATACACACCAAAGCAATTCTTCCTCAGGTCTCTAAAGAGTAAGAATGAGAATTCTTTCTATGTCACTGCAGCAGATGTCCATTGCTAGAGGAATGGAAAAATAAAATGTGGATATATACTATGCAATATTATGCAGCAGTTAAAACAATAACGTCAATGTAAATCCAACACCATGAATAGTCTTTAAAGGTTTAGTGGTAAATTAAAAAAAAAAAAACAAACACCAAATGAGATTTATGGCACAATATTACTTATAAAATTGCTCATTTGCACCCAATAACACTAAATACCCTATAATGACACATGCCTCTTAAGAACATATATCAAACACATAAGGAAAGCATGTATAAGAGAGAGGTGAAAATTAAAACAAAAACAAGACCTTTCATGAACTGATGATAATAGTTTGCTGTTAGGTTAGGAGTATTATATTAATTTAATTCTCTGCACCTGAGGGCTGTCAAAAAGAAAAAAATATATGTGGCCAAACCCATGGGTACATAGACATCAACAATCAATCATATTCCTCTTTTCATTTCTAGCGAGGTACAGCTCCCTGCCCTCTCTCCCCACATTTGCTAGACAATGTGCATTATTTGGAACGTATTTTGGGTTGGCAAAGTTACTGACCTTTTTCAGAAACAAAATTGTAAGAAAATTACACAAATTTGAGATTAAAGTGAGTATTATGATCATAAATGGAAGAGAAATCCTGAGAATTAACGGTGGTGGCCAATACCATGTTGGTAAAGATTAAATAAAAATGCACTCTTATACACAAAAAAAGAAGAGTCATTTGAGGATACTACCAGGTAGTCCTCTTACTCCTTTCAATACTGTTCAGCCTGCCCAACTCAAGGGAAGCAGGGAATTGTAGGAATAAGAAAGGAAGAAAAATGCCTTAAATAATCAAAAGACACATCCATATGGCCAGATTAAAGAACTACATCTATGATTTCCCTTAAAATATGGTGCTAAAAACATCTGTGTACATGATAAACTATCTACTTCCTTTATGAGTAACCAGAGCAGAGTAATATATTTGTGTTTTTCTTTTTTTGTCTTTGGCTTGGAGGATATTTAATGTTTAATTTTGTGCTCAAAGATATTAAAGGCAGTTAGAGAAAGGAGCTTTGGTTAAACAAAACAAAAAGGTAAATACTGTAACATAAATGAACCTTGAAAACATTAAGCTAAGTGAAAGAAGCCAGACACCGAAGGCCACATATGATATGGTTCTATTTATATGAAATGTTCAGAATAAGCAAATTCTTAGAGACAGTAAGTACACTAATGGTTTCCTAGGGCTGAAGAAGAAGAGGAAGTTTAAGATGGGAGGGGGAAAGGAGAGTGACTGCTAATCAGTATGAGGTTTCTTTTGGAGGTGATGAACATGTTCTAAAATTAGACTGTGGAGATGATTTCAAAATTCTGTGAATATATTAAAAACCACTGAATTTCATACTTTCAAAGGGTGAATTTTATGCTATGTGAATTATATCTCAGTAAATAAATATATGTAAAAGAACACATTAACAAAAGGAGAGTTACGGTCTCAGTAGGCAAATAACCATAATGTGGAAATAAGAATGTACCTTGGAAATTCTGGGTTATGCTACATGCTACTTGTGACACTTGTAGTAGTTATTATCTTGGACTTCAATTTCTTCATCCACATTTAAAGTCATGAATTTGTGGTATATGAACTCTTAAGTTTCTTTTAAATATAAATGTTAAAATGTGTTAGTATTTTATAATGCTAATGTAGATTCCCTTGGTTATCACTCAAAGGTCAAGAGTATCTTTGATTCTGAAAGTTAAAACAACAAGTATGGGAAATGAAAAAAGTCAAACACAGCTCAGAGCTGGTCATCTCAGAAACAAAGATCTGGGCTGGAGGAAAACACTGAGAAAGGTAGAAAAATCCACAGGAGTAAATGAAATTGCCTAGGGAGAATATATAAACATGAGGCTAGAAAGGGCTGAGGATTTCCCATCAAAAACATTAATGCATTATCAAGGGCATTAACTAATTCATTCAACAAATATTTACTGAGCACCTACTATATGCCAAGCAGAGTTCTAGGGGTGGATCTATAGCAATGAAGCATAACAAGTCTTTGTTCTTGTTGTCTTACATTTTAGTCAAGGGAAGGAGAATAATAATAAACAAGTAAACAAATAAAAGACATTTAGATAATAATAAGGGATGGAAGAAAACAAAACAGAGTAACACGCTAGAGAGCAATTTGACAGGAGGGTAAGGTCAGTGCTTTAGATAGTGGTCAGAGGAGGCTCACATGGAAGGTGGTATCTGAGCCGAGAACCGAGTGAAGAAGGAGCCAGCCCCTTAATGGATCTAGAAGAACAGCACAGTAAAAGGACCTCAGGTGGAAACAGGTCTGCTGTGTTTAGAACCAAAGAAGACTATCTGGAGTGTAGTAAGTAAGGGAGTGAAAGATTTAAAAATGAGGTCAGAGAAGAAAGGAGTATTTTTATTCTGAGTGTGATGGAAAGCTATTGGAGGGATTTAACCAAGAAAGTGATTGGATCTCACTTAAGTAAAGATCCCTGCAGCTGCTATGAGATCATATATATATATATATAAAATGAAACTATACCATGATACAGTTATTTGTATATCATTTTAATTGTTAAATGATAAAAACTGTAAAATGATATACAAATTAGTTTATCATTTTATAACCACTTTGAGCTTCAATTTCCTCACATGTAAGCTGGAAAAATACCTGATAGGATAGTGTTAAGGACCTTTCCTTGTCAAAGGCCAAAGACACATATACTAGGCCAGTCCCAGGAAGATCCTGAGAGCGAGTGAAAAGGAGCACAGACCTAGCAGACACACATTTATGTGGGTCTGTCTATGGTGATGCATGAATTCGGAGGAACTAGTGCCAATTATTCTTACGGTTTGGTGGTAGGATTCTGAACTACCATTTTTGATCCACGTAAGAAATTCAGGAAATTTCCTAGAAACCTTGAACCATTAGCTCTTTGAAGGCAGGGAATACTCTTATTCACTTTTGTATTTACTTCCTATCAGAATGCCTGGCACAGAGTAAGTGCTTCACAGGAGATTGTGTGTAACACAAAGAAGTTAATGCAATTCCACACCTGCCCTCGCACAAGCTCACAGTAAACTACTACTCCTTAAAGAAGTCATGTGACCTGACAAAGGGCGACTAAACTGATCAAAGAATTGGAAGCAATATGTTGATTGCAAAAACAAAGGCATACAGTGAAAACCTATTACAACATGAAAGATCTAGATGAGAGCAACATGCTTATTTGCCAAATCTCAGGATATCAAGCCTCTCCTTGATCTGAGAGGGAAGAGGAAAATTCTGCTTTGCTTAGCAGGTAATTTATGTATGGAATTCAATAACCTCAGAAGTGTTAAAGGTCAATTACCACACAAGGTGATTTGGATACCAGAAGGATTTTATGTGTTATCAAGCTCGTTATAATACTCTGATATTAAGAAAAGAAAGAATCATGTATTTCCACATTTATCACTTGAGGACGTTTGTTATAAGTACAATAAGTCTTCACTTAAAGTCATCAATAGGTCCTTGGAAACGGCAACTTCACGCGAAAGAATGTATAATATAACCAATTTTGCTATAGGCTAAATGATACTAACAAGAATTAAGTTCCTATGACATATTTCTGG